TAAACCAAATCATTAATTAAACATACCATTATAAATAATAGGTTTAACTGAACTGAGACGTGGCTAAATGATAATAATATTAATAATGAGGACTTTTTGCAAACTTACTTACTTACTTACTTACTGTATTTATCATCATGAATCGTAGCGGTAAACTACAATTGAATCCATATTCATAAAACTCGTTACAGCTGTTGGTGAAACGTATTACTATTAAGGGACTGGTCATAAGTAACTGCTAGGGTGGGCTGGAGGTAAATCACAAATTTTTCCAATAAGTTTGGTGACCCATCTTAGGATGTAGATAAAAATTTCAAAGCCCATCTAATCTTACCAAATTTATTTCATGACCCACCCACCCAATCTAAATTAGGAAAATACACTTTTATAAAACAAATACTTGAAGGTATGAACATTGTAAATATACACTGGCACTGTATTGACATATATAATTGCACCAAGCTTGACGACACATTCATCACCAATTACGATACTGAGCTGTTCTCCATCTGGTTGTATTTGCTGTGATTCGACCACCTCTTCTTGTTGTTGTATAAAACAAAGTACTGGCTTCAATAGCATCATTTGCATTTGATAATTTGGATAGTTTTGTTTACTTTTATTATTAATATCTTTATATAATATATTGGTTTTTGTTTGGTGGCCCAACCGTGGACATACAAAAAAATTGGCGGCCCATCGAAACTGCCCAAAGATTTTCCATGGCCCATCCCAAATCACTCCAGCCCACCCTAGCAGTTACTTTATGACCGGTACCTCAGCTGCCGTGTTTTGTGTCTGAACAACCTGAAAAAATTGAATTATGAAGTGCGCCTGTTTTCGGCATACCTGGGAGCTACGGTTTTACAGTATTTAGCTACTTAATAATGCAGTGTGTTGTAGTTTTCATGCGCGGACTTAGTAAAAATGTTCCTGGAATTAGAGCGTGCATGCCGCCTACATTCTCATCGCAGCCGCTTACGAAAGGATTATGGGATTATGAAAGCCTTTTGAAATGATTTATGAATAAAGAAATGCTGTGCTGAGTGGTTATATTACTACCTTAAAAAATAAAAGTCTCGCCTAAAGGTAATTTTATTTGGGCTGTTAAAGAATGAATAAATTTATAATCATTCTTTTTTCAAAGGTCAAACACTCCTGTGCAATCATCAAATGCCAGTGTCAATCAGTCATCGAACGTAACTTTCAACCAATCACAAGGATCTTGCGAGGATATTCCCGCCAGTTTACATTACGAGGTATTGATCAGAGAAACTGGCAAGTATTTCGGAACGCCGCAGATGGAAATAATTGGTGCGCTTGTCAGGTAAAGTACCTTTAATAAAGTATATCTTTAAGGTTACAGGACACCCTTTTTGGCGTTTTGCGGAAAATCGCTACTGCGCGCTCAATATCAGTCCGATTTGAATCAAATTTTCACCAAATGTTCGCCAGTGTACGCTTTTGAGTTGTGCTCCTGCTAGTTTTAAGATATATTTATAAAAATATCATTTTTATACAGTAAAATAGTTGTTCTAAAAAATTGTGTTCGGAATTTTTTGTTTATTTCGACATTCCGCTGATATGGCGATTTCTTTGACGACTGCAATATATTTCTGAATTGTTTGAGTGAATTGCTCTTTATTATTAAAATATCCAAAATTTAAAAAAGGCCGAACACAGTTTTGAAACTGACGTCTTTAGCTATGTCCTGTGAAAATTTGAGAAAAATTGGTCAAAACCCGCAGGAGCACAACTCGTTTGAAAATCAGTAATTACCGTAAAATTCTTCGGGAGAAAATTGAATTTGAATATTACAT